AACAGAAAGACTTACTAGTAAGTACACATGATAACAGTTGTGAAATAAACAGCTGTTGAAAGACAAGGCTACAATTCTGTGTATTTTACTTCCTTTATCAAAGTATCGTGCGTAGTTTTACCATTGGGCATTCGTGGAGAAGTTTTTCAGATGGGTAAGTAAATGAATATCAGTCAGTTTTCATAATAAAAGTCACATAGTGTGTTAGAAGTTTTGTTACAGGGGTTTAAAGATACAGATTGATGAAAAGTATGGATAAGTTTTATGGTTGCCATAGTTATTTCATTGAGAAATGTTCTATCTCTTTGAAGGATATGGAGCTGGACGTATTTGATGCTCATTAGTTTCCCTTTTGGTACCGTTGTCGTATACCTTATTCTCATTTGTGAACGTGACATTACTTAGTTAGATTGACCAACGTTTACATGGTGGGTGTAGTCGATGAAGCAGAATACGCTTACATTTCCGGAACACCTGGTCTTTTCTCTTATTACTTTCTTGAGAGTCTCGGTGTAAATCTTTCTTTTGTTCATATTTTGCCCTAGTTTTATGGAATCTTAGTCTGGATTATGAGTATGTTGAAATGTTGGTATTTTCTTCAGCGAGAGCATTTATCCTCGGTATTGAACAAGCAGAGTGCTTTGTATCACCAAGGACGACAGCTGTAAAGAGATTTGGCCATGATTTTCATAATTTCATTATTTCAGTTTTAAATCATACAATAGTGATATATAGTTCTCGGGATTCTGTCTCTATCGGCACCAACAGATATGGAGTGTGTTCCTTCTTTAACCTCATTTTAATATGCATATATGTAAGTACTTATCTATGCAAATAACTAGATTAAGACTACGTGTATCATGCTGTGTTTCTATACACAATATATATCAGGACTACAGTGAAGACATGAAGATGTTTAAAATAACAACGTGACTAAAGGCCAGTCGTTATTGATTATTAATGATGTCTTGATATTATTCCTTAGGTATTGCTGCAGTTCTACTTGTTTTTCTGGCGAGTCTACACTGTAAGTATTCTCACCATTTTTAAGAAAACGTTATTATTGTTGTAATTCATAAAACAGCGTCTCTTTAATGACACGCCATGTTTTTAATTTTATTTACGTGTTTACGTTCACTTATCCGTGAACTACTCACGAGGTTAGTACCCGGATACTACTAAGATCATTCATTTAGTTAAATTTTAGTTATGTTTGTATGTTATCCACACTAATGTTTAGCGATGCTTTATCTCAATGTGACTGCCACTTAAGAAAGCCAAAATCAATATTGGTTATTGGTCCGATCTTATATCAATGTCGAAAGAAATGAATTGTGTTTATCATACCGAAAATGTTTTTGCCATATTGATGAATTCATTTTCAAATTATTTTATAGAGAGATATGTACAGTTTAAATTTTTGACCGTTATAGAAAGGTGTTTAATTCAAATCTATTTTTAATATTATCTACAAAGTTAATACAAAGTAGGGGATACAAGAAGTTAACATAAATATGTTTGTTTCTTTAATATGTTTTTATTTAAAAAATAAACAACGGAAATCTTTAACTGTAGTCAAATAAAAGTAAGTTTTATATTTGTCCACTTAAACCTACCCCAGTGCTGTTAATTGACAGACGCTGCCTCTATTCGTTGCCTGAGCTGTACCGATGTCTTACAGCCTCGCTATTGTTCTGGTATTGAACACTGCCCAGAGGGAGACGTAAGAACGAAAAAATAGCTTCATTCTGTGAAACTTTGTGCTATCTTTAATCGTAAAATAAATTCAGCGTTTCATTTTCGAAATAAATCCAAACTTTTATGTAATATATAGAAAAGTCTTATGAAAGTTTAATTATACATATAACAGCTTATTGGAATTTTTATATTATTATGTGGACGTACGAAGGAGAACAGACCAATATTACAGTGTCCCTAATTTGATGGTAGAAAGCTGTTCACAAAGTATTTTGTTATCACACATTTAAGAGGAACATACATCAGGATTTGTTCTATATACAGGCGTGTGTTACTGAATCTTACAGGAACAGGAATGGAGAGGTCCTGTTTAACGTTGGATGTATGTCTGCAAGGGCAAGTATACAGCTAGTGAGGAAAGATGTGTCTTAGTTTAATCATCATGAGAAAGTAACTTGCTCAATCACAAGGGTTTTCCACGGGTACTCCAGTTTCCTTCAAAACGGGCCAACTATAGTGATTATTACAAGTTGGAATGACTTGTTGTGGAATTGTTGTAAAATACATAGATCAGCTTAATTTGAAATTAAGATTTCTTCAATCTTTTGTTTCATGTGCTGTACCTAGACCAGGTCATAAAATATTCCCGAGGGAAAAATAGAAATTTACTCGATAGAGTGAGGTAGTTTCCAGAAAAACTCAAAATTTCTTACCGTCCTATGTATACAAATTTTTGAACGTTTGCCTTGACAATATTTATAAAACTTTCCCTAGGTAGTTATACGACATAAGATATAATCGGGGCGACGCTAGGCTGCTATAATCAACGACATTGCTATTTTGTGGGGGCATGCCACATCTTTTCAGTTATGAATTAAATCATGTTATTTTATGCTGTAAATATGTTTGTACAACATAGTTGACATCGTTGTTACCATGTCTGCCAGGTTATTTGCGATTGGATCAAATGACTCTACAGGATAAATGTATTTCTGTCTCGTTCTTGACGTACGATACACCCAATACCGTATATACCTCAATTCGTGATTTGATTATCAAGATATAGATTATAGAATATACATCTAATTAATATCCTGTTTTAAATTAATAATCAAGTTTTTAAAAAAGGTTCGTTAGTAAGACAATAGCAAAAAAACAATAGTATACTGCGTGAAGCAATTAATTTATGGTGGTGCTATCACTTTGGTCAGTGTCACATCATGACTATCCGACTTCATATATTGTGTTAGTATTACCTGCATTTTTCCCGAGACAAATTTTGTTACTTTTGCTATTTTACTCCATTTAAATACAACAAAAAATAAATAATTTTCATACTCATGGGATATGCAAGAAAAATGATATTACCTCCCCTCTCTCTCTATATATAGTAAATTAAACCGTAAGGAAATTCTTTTATTAACAGTGAGGAAGTTTCCATTTATTCTAAAATGAACAAATCGTCATCGTTTATACAAAAAAATTCATAAAATACCATCCAAACACCCAAATTAATTTATTATAGTCATAAGAAATTTTACATCTGACATATTAGGACCTTACTGTGTAGGGAGACTTTCCTTAAAGTTTTGTTTTTAGGACAAAAATGACTCCCAGTGTACCTTCTGACCAACGGCATGAAAACGTCACACCGTGACATCATTCTGGGCCAAGTGCAGTGGTGCTTGGCAGAGTCCTATAACGAAAAAGTGTATTATACCTATTTATGATACGACTGATATTGACAGACGTGCTTTAAATATACCTGATACTTAGTGTGACTGTTAACATCTACTGAGAGAGTTTCCATAGTTTTCCCGTCATATGAAAAATACTGATGGACAAGCTAATTGTATATAAAACATAACATAAATATGTATTGTTGGCGTCGATGAACGTTAAGACGTTAACCCTTCTGATACATGTGGTCCGATACATTTTCAAGGGTCTGAGATAAATCATTATTTTGTTTTTGTTTTCGATAAGACGCTTACCCTTCTGAAACACGTGGTCTGATACATCTCCAATGGTCTTTTGTTACTCAATCATGGTCTCACGCTTTGCTTCGTCGAATTTAAATTTGAATAATATTTTGTTTCGTCAGCAAGTATTTCTTGTTCCCGTGTTAAAAGTGTAGACGGTGAATTAAATGTCATTATAATAACAACATCTTTATTCTTCAAGAGATGTTCCTTGACTAGCCAACAAAACCGCTCCACTGCTATTTTGCGAACAGACATAATCGGGACACATGTTCATGACGAATGTATCGAGTGTTGTCATGGTGACCTGTGTAACGCCGCCGGTTGTGGTACGGACGGTAAGTCATGTGTTTCGGACGTCAGATTAAAATCTAAAGACAACAATTTCCCCTCTATATAGGTGGTAAATTTGCTACTTTCTGTGGCAGTGGTTCGCTCTTAACTGTGCTTGTAAGTAGCCTATAGTACAACCCTGTTATATATAATATCAGTTAATAACCTGTCTGCCACGTCGCTGTTTTGTATAGTAAAACAGATGAAGGGTGAGATGTAGGTGAGGTGCTATTTCAGAAGCTTATGTCATTGTTAACTAGCTTTGTTCCCTATCAGGTGTACAAAGCACTTGATGTTAATGTATTTTAGTTTTTAAAATAAAAGGAAGAATTACATTTACTATTTGTAGGGTTCCCTAAAGAAAGAGGACCAATATGTTTAGATTGTCCACAATCACGTGATCCTGACAGTTGTGACGTCATATCCGTATGTCTTCAAGGAGAGGTATAGAACTAATGTCTTACTAATATATATCCAAGTTTAAATGTGCTGTGATAATATTTTGATTTTATTCGACGTGTTTAAGTTAAAGTTAAATCAATAGGAAAAGTGTGTATATTATCTGCATTATTTTGAACATTTCGACAACTCTTTCATCAAAGGTTTGTCATGTTGAGGAAATCTCTAAGTTTGGCGACTTATTCTACAAAACCAGCTGTGTAAGAGAAACTGTGAGTAGAACTTCATGACCAATGTTTTTTTCATATGAAAAACTATTTAAATATATAATATATATATATATACAAAGTTTTCATTTGTTGTCATTTTAGAAAAACAGTGAAGCTTAGTTATTTCAAATACCGTTTGGGTATTTAATAAACGCGAAATTTTTGTCAGAATCCGTAACAGTTTCTTCACGGCACTTACCATGGTAATCAACCAACATGTTATATTAAATTTTAAAGAAGCCGATTTGTGTATTCAGACTGATGCCATCATCATGAGGTTCTGGAAATGCGACCCTGGACAAGCAAAGAAATTATAGGTCATCAAAGGAACAAGATACAGCTGTGTTATACCTATTAAATAGCAAATAAATCAAACAAAAAGAACTTGTATTGCGATAGAATTAAGACAAACATTTTGGTCGTATCTATTATAACGTTGGTTTGAAAGAATTTTCAGTCAAAAAGTCTTGAACAATCATCTGTATCCATTAATGCTGTAAAGAGATATATCCCTTTCAGCAAAATCATCAATGATGTCCCGAAATAACTGAACAGTTATAGGATCGTAAATGAATTTTCAATTCTGATGATGTTTTATGAATGTGTCGTAGAAAATTCTATGCTTGTGAGCAACAAATCAATCTTCTAAACGAATTTCAAAGGTTTTATAGTCGAACTGTAAGGATGAAATCAGACGGAGGCATCCATTATGTTGACAATTTCAGTTCATGAAATATTGTCTATATTTTGACACAACAAGGTCCCTGGTACATTACACTAGTAATATATATTCAAAATCACAAAATTGGCGAATTCACTGGATGACAGACCGATTATGTGATGAAGTTGTTGAATATGTTGATATTGTCCGTGGTGTAAAATTCGGGACCGTACACTTAACATAATTTAATTAACAAATTTATCAATTGAATGAATTAATGAATAAATGAATTTCATTAGATAATTGATTGCTTCAGGATTACCAGTGCACCTCTTCTCCCATGTATAATCCAGTGGAGATTGGCAGGCGGTCTACTGGAAACTGTTTTTTCTGCTGCCCAGATGATCTCTGCAACATACAATGTAAATTTAATATCTATCGATTTACAGCATTACATGCTTATGATGTAAATTGCAAACACAATTTTCATCATGTTAAATTATATTAGAACATCGAAAGTTATACCATTTTTTCCATTGAAATCTGATGTTGAGATGTTATTGATTGAATCAACCTGAAAACTGCCATTTTGTGTCATGATGCACATTCGGGTACATTTGTCTATATTTGTTTAAGTAGAATTTCAAGTAAACAAACATATATTTTGCACTTAGCTTTTCAGTTTTTGTAGCATATCTATCATTGATAGGAAAAAACTCATATATCAAATGGTGACATCAATGCAAATTTACTTTCTACATTTCAAGCAGATAGCTGAATGTTGTATTAAATTTAAATATTCATCACAACATCAATCATGAATCGGACCACGATACAAAGGTGGCCGACTCAACTTCAGATGACGATCCAAGGTTCGTGTTCTGTCGCTCCTTACTCCTGGCGGTTTGGTGAGAGACAGATCTGTATGTGCCATTATGTTTTGTCTTTGGGAAGGACACTTTTCCCTCATTGCTCTGGATTGGAAGCCTCACCTCCCATAGGTTATACTTTGAGATAGTCACCACCTAGTACACGGCATTTCTGCCTCAAAGTTATCGCGTGTTTTTTATTAAAAAAAAAACAGCCAATAAACAAAAAATCATTATTTTTAATTTTTTTTCATTCTTCAGGTCGCAATGCCACATTATCTTCGCAATTTACAACACCTTCGACTACAATCATCCCGATTACCAATAGTAAGAACACATTTTGTATCCATTTGTTCCAGTAATTGTTATCATTTGTGTTTAAAAGGAGGATTTCATTTTTTTTTATATTTCGTCGTCATAAATACACAAACATACCTTCTTGTTGCAGAGCTTTTCCAGTGTGTCATACTTCATATTTCGGCTTAAAGTATTTGACGACATCAACATTTTCTAAGGGTCAAGCGTGTTTATAATGACGAGGCGTTATCATGTCCAATTTAGGTCTAGAAATAAGTTCTGAGATAAAGCTTCCTTTCTTATTTATCATAAAGTGTACATTTACCAAATTACCATTACCTGGCGAAGCTGTTCAATTCCGCCTATAGGTATATTGTAGATGAAATCAGAATTTCTTTTCGCCTTGTTTTTTCATCATATAGACCACCAGCCTTGGGAATTACGCACGCGACGTTTTTTTTTTTTTTTTCCATCGATCACTTATCTCGATCTTTACATGCAACGCCACCACCGAATACAGTTTTTTTTCACAAATCTATATGATAAATGTAATTGTTTCGATATCGCTGTCGTAAATTTTCTTTTTTTTTAAAACTAATATCCTGCAACATGAAAATACCAACACGTGAAGTTCAATTTAATAAACCTCGGGGATCATGTGGGTAAATGAAAGTTTACAAGGAGACACCTGGAAAAATATAGAAATAAGACTACGAGGACAAGTGAGTAAGGTCACGTTCTCAAACGAGAACAAGATCTACAACCACAAAACCAACAGGCAAACTTTCGAACTTTAAACACGTCCAGCTTCATGCCATGCAAAAATATCTCTCAACGAGATCATTATATGGCGACCTGAATACTTCCCCATTCACGACATGGAAATTAAAATCATCACGGTATCATACAGCTAGGTTGAAAGCTGTCCATGTTAGTTTCGTTGTAGAAAAAGATCGAGATGATCAGCTGAAGATTATGTCGGGTCTTGAATTTCTATTCCTTACTCTCGACGAAGATGTAGGCAACCAGAAACTCGATTATATTTAAAAGTTTAAGATGTTAATCCATATATATTTTTTCTATGGTGTAAGTGTACTTTTGAGGAAATACTCTTCGGTATAGCCCAAAATCAATTATTTGTACAGCTATTCACCTCTCATTAAGAAAACTCTCGTAACAAGAAAACGAAGGTGTTCTTTTGGTTAAGAATGGATTTGAAGATACTAAGAATGATAGCAAGACGTTTGGACAAAGGTCTGGTTGCACAGCTACACAAGCCAACAACAAAACGGTGTTTATATGGAATCTAGCAAAGTTTTGAAATCTAATATAAACAGGGGAGGTCCGTATCCTGATCTTCAATAGGCAATTTAAATGATTGTTATACTGAATACTGAAATATGTATTTCTTCTTTGGGAAGATTGCATATTCTTAGGGGGATGATTCATTTGATATCATGCTAGTTCTTTTTTTGTATTCAGGAAATGTAAAAATATATGCTGACAAGTAATTTGACACTTTATCTCCAGAAAGAATAACGTGCCAATCATTTAAATCTTGACGCGTGCATTCAACATCGGGATCAGATAAAGGTTTATATATTTCGAAGTTGATTCGGTATACAAGAGCTTTTCAGAGAATAAGATTTCTTAACATATCGATATGTTCTTTTCATTTACAGAAAACATTACCTTATCATCATCAGCTGTACAGTCTACAACACCAGTACCAACACATCACAGTAAGTCTTTTGTTTATGTTTACTTTTCCTTAAACATTAATGTGCTATAACTAAGTAAACATTGAGATAACCTGTGCTTTATCTAACATATAAAGTCCTCCTTCATGAAAATATATATACAATATATATATATATATATTTATTTATTTATTATCAATTTTTAACAATTACAGAATTATTTGATTTATAACATACACTTTTGTGACCTTTTGTGACTTACATGTTTATAAATATATAACATTATTATATATATTGATAAAATGATACATTCAAAATTAGTGTGGACTTTTTTTTTTACATACTTTAGTTGGACAGAACAATTAATAAATACAGGCATTTCTTCGTGGCAATGATACAAACCATAACTTGAAAAAAGGCCGTTGAATTAAATTTAAAATTTAAAAAATTAAAATTAACACGATTTTGATTTTCTTTCTTAAAGTGAGTATTTATTTTTCAAAGTGGCTTGTAACATAGCATAACTGTTGTTTTTAATGTTTTGACAGGTTTCAAAGGAAAGGAATTCTTTTTAATGTTCCTGCATAATTATGAATTTAGCATTTACCGATCAACCCTCAGTGTTACTGTAACATGCAGTGCTCAAAACGCTGTAATTCAGATGACGACAAGTTACAATTCGACTTCCATAGATATCTCAGGTTCAGCGAAACAGATTGAATTAGATTCCAACCTGCTGCTCTTGGAAAACGGCAGGTCAAGCAAAGGGGTCACTTTGACCTCTAATACAACAATGTCCGTCACAGCATTCAGTTCATATTATTGTTGTTCGTATGAGGGCTACTTAGCCCTGCCGACAGAAAGTCTTGATGTCGTCTATATTGTTGGGACGCCTAAACCTAATGATGATAAAAGCTTCATGATGTACGGCACGCAGTTTGCGGTGGGAGCGCCATTCAACAATACAGTGGTAAATATTACACTGAGTACGTCCAGTGTTTCTATAGCTGGCCAGTATAACAGGGATGGAGACACAATCACCGTTGTTCTGAACGAACTAGACACCTTCTTTATAGAGACAAACGCCACTGGCCAGGACCTGACCGGTACACGTATTGTTAGTAATAAACCAGTAGCAGTTGTATCTGGTCATAGCTGTTCAAACTACAATGGATGCAACCATGTCGTAGAATATCTACCTCCGGTGTCAAAATGGGGTTCAAAGTTCATGCTACCACCCATTACAGATAGCAACGGGGGATACATAAGGATCATTGCTTCGTACAATAATACAAGCGTCATTGTAATGTCTGACACTTTAAACCACACATACAAGATCTCAGATTTTACAGATATCAATATCAACTCCTCACAACCGTACGCCATCTCTAGTGATAAACCTGTGCTCGTCTTAGTGATATTTCACGGGAAAAAATACGCAATGTTTATTTTGCCATCCTTAGATCAGTTTTCTGGTGAACCTGTGTTGATTTCACCTCCTAAACATCCTTTTGAAACGTTCACCAATATTTTCGTTGTTACGATACGGTCACGTGACAAGTACGGTTTGCAGATTCGCTCTGAGGATGGAACGAACTTAGCTTCTTTTAGAACAGTGAATTACCCGTATGTTGACGGTGAGATGTTTAGCTTTATGACTTTCTACTGCAACAACAACAACAACAAGACATGTTCTATCCAACATACCGATAGCAATGTACTGTTTAGTGTTATATCGTACGCACTAGCATTTCATGAAGTATACGCGCTTCCGGTAAACATAATGTTGTAATAAATCACATCAGATATGTAAAAATAATTAACTCATCATTTCATATTGGAGATGATTTTTCAAATATGAATAATCCCTGCATGTAAAACCAAAGGGAACATCATTTTACGCTTTCAATTGGTTTGTCCGTCCATTTGTCCGTCTATTTTGAAATGTCTTACCAAAAACGAATTGGGTAGTGACAATATCGATGAAAATTAAATGTACGAAGCATTACAAAACTCCAAGGAGGGCTCTCATTCTCGACACTCATCATTCACACTGTCACAGGACGGATCTCATTCTCCACACTCATCATTCACACTGTCACAGGAGGTCTCTCATTCTCCACACTCATCATTCACACTGTCACAGGAGGTCTCTCATTCTCCACACACATCATCCATATTGTTACAGGAGGACTCTCATTCTCCACACACATCATTCACATTGTTACAGGAGGGCTCTCAATCTCCACACACATCATTCACACTGTCACAGGAGGACTCTCATTCTCTACACTAATCATTCACACTGTCACAGGAGGGCTCTCATTCTCCAAACACATCATTCACACTGTCACAGGAGGGCTCTCATTCTCCACACACATCATTCATACTGTCACAGGAGGGCTCTCATTATCCACACACATCATTCATACTGTCACAGGAGGGCTCTCATTCTCCACACACATCATTCACACTGTCACAGGAGGGCTCTCATTCTCCACACACATCATTCACACTGTCACAGGAGTGATCTCATTATCCACACACATCATTCATACTCTCACAGGAGGCTCTCATTCTCCACACTCATCATTCGCACTGTCACAGGAGGGCTCTCAATCTCCACACACATCATTCACACTGTCACAGGAGGACTCTCAATCTCCACACTCATCATTCACACTGTCACAGGAGGACTCTCATTCTCCACACTCATCATTCACACTGTCACAGGAGGACTCTCATTCTCCACACTCATCATTCGCACTGTCACAGGAGGGCTCTCATTCTCCACACTCATCATTCGCACTGTCACAGGAGGGCTCTCAATCTCCATACACATCATTCACACTGTAACAGGAGGACTCTCATTCTCCACACACATCATTCACACTGTCACAGGAGGGCTCTCATTCTCCAAACACATCGTTTACACTGTCACAGGAGGGCTCTCATTCTCCAAACACATCGTTTACACTGTCACAGGAGGACTCTCATTCTCCACACTCATCATTCACACTGTCACAGGAGGGCTCTCATTCTCCAAACACATCGTTTACACTGTCACAGGAGGACTCTCATTCTCCACACTCATCATTCACACTGTCACAGGAGGGCTCTCATTCTCCACACACATCATTCATACAGTCACAGGAGGTCTCTCATTCTCCACACTCATCATTCACACTGTCACAGGAGGGCTCTCATTCTCCACACACATCATTCACACTGTCACAGGAGGGCTCTCATTCTCCACACACATCATTCATACTGTCACAGGAGGTCTCTCATTCTCCACACTCATCATTCACACTGTCACAGGAGGGCTCTCATTCTCCACACTCATCATTCACACTGTCACAGGAGGTCTCTCATTCTCCACACACATCATTCATATTGTCACAGGAAGGCTCTCATTCTCCACACTCATCATTCACACTGTCACAGGACTGTTCTCATCCTCCACACACACCATTCTTACTGTCACAGGAGGCCTCTCATTCTCCACACACATCATTTAAACTTTCAATTAGTTTCAATTCACCTGTACACACTCAGTTAAACATGTACGTCATATTTTACTTTGAATTCATTTACAGAACCCTCCTCTCACAACAACACAAGCATCCATTCACATTGACTATCTTCAGTGTTGAATTGAAGGAAAAGAAGATTATGATATGTCCAGTTACATAGAATATATATCTGAATTGATGTAGGTAAGAAAATAACATCGACTTGCTGCTGACATGATAATGGTGTCAAAATGCCGCGTCTTATCACAGCAGTACCTCTTTTTTACGAGTCTTTTCATGACCTCTTTAAAGCTTAAGTTAAATAGCTTTTATGGTTAAATGAATCTGTAAGGTTATAATTTCAAGCTTTCTTTCCTATCAAATCAGAACTGAATAAGCATGGATTTTTTTCATTTCATTTTGTTTTCGACAAATTTCTTCTTTAAAAAAAATAGAAAAAAAATTTAAATAGTTACATATAGAGTGCTTTAAGGGAGACTACTCTTTTAAATAAAAACCAAAATACTAAATATTTAAATATTCAAATAGGAAAATAGAAAAAAAATTAAATAGGAACATATAGAGCAATTGTAAGGGAGATTACTCTTGTGAAATAAAATCCAAAATACTAAATATTTAAATATTCAAATAGGAAAATAGAAAGAAAAAAACATTTAAATAGCTACATATAGAGCGCTATAAGGGAGATTACTCTTGTCAAATAAAAACCAAAATACGAAATATTTAAATATTCAAATAGGAATTAGAAACGACCAATAAGTAATTCATTAAACAGTTGAACAGGCAAAGTACAGGAAATTATGTACACACGAACCCTTACAATGAAATATTTAAACCTTCGTTTTTTAAACTGATCAAAATAACGAATCGTTCTCGAAAACTGCAGCAAATATTATCTTTAAGTTAAATGTTGATTGGTCCGTTACGAAAGGTTTTGGGTTCTGCCCCCTGGCCAAGACATATCAGCGTCTCTAAAAAATTTCCTTTACAACTTGATATGGAAGCAGTGTAACAGCTGTTTCGCCCATTTCTCAGTATCCTTAACCTGGGACTGGGCCCCACTTGTATAAAATATCTCAATTTTAGATTTCCTCAAGCCCAGATTTTCCTCAGCTAATATCTCCTTGAAAATATCTTGTAAGAAAATTCCTCAAGGAATTTCAGGACATCCTAGCCGAGGACTTCCTCCTGTTCCTTGAGAAAATTTTATACAAGCCGTTTTTGAGGAGATATCAGCAGAGGAAAATCTCGACTTGAGGAAATCTCAAGTTGAGATGTTTTATACAAGTGGGGCCGGGTGTAGTGTCCTGTCCGTTACTCCAATTTTTTACATGTAGCACTCAACTCGCATAGACAGGATACTAAACTGGCTATAGAAGGTCTGTAGATTAAATTACATGCTTGAAAGAGTGGGACTATCTCTTTCTAGTCGTAAGTTGTGTTTAATGGCGTTGTTCACTTGTGAGACTTGTGGATACTATTGGTGGATTTTTAATCTCCAAAGTTCGCCGTAACCTGTCACGTTTTGATTCATTCGAATAGTGTAACGGTTCAAGTGCACCTCCTTACCCTACACATCCATACATCTTGAAATCGAAGGTAATCCTCGGTGCATAAGATATGATGCGCCATTCACCGTTAAACATCTTTTATTGGACTGCATTGACCTTCTGTCTACTCGAGAAGTTTTTATCGTAACGTTACAAGTCTAAAGACCCTTTTTGAAACTGTTGAGATTTGAAAAATTCTAAGTTGTCTGAAAGATGTTGGTCTATATTATAGAATATGACTTACTGTTTTAATTTTTTGTGTTAATACACCCATTTACGATTTTTAGCATTTGTGTTTTACCTTTTAGTTTGTTTGATGTTATTTCCTTTTGGATCGCTGTGTCTTTCACCGGTTGATGGCCCTAATGATCTTTTATGTGTTGACGGGAAGTTAAGAATGTAATAATAAGGATCAGACAGGTTTTCTTTCAGGTCGCTATATTGGAGTAAATACTAGATTAGTGTACGACATTATGCAATATGCAGAAGAAAGATATATTCCAGGAATGCTATTAATGTTGGATTTTGAGAAAGCTTTTGATTCAGTTTCATGGAAATTTGTTGACATAGTTTGTTTTAAATTATTTCAATTTTGGTCATGATATTCGAAACTGGGTCAGATTGTTTCACACTAATGTTACTGCGGCCGTAAATCAGGGGGGCAATCTATCTTCTTTTTTAAATATTAAAAGAGGCTGTCGTCAAGGTGACCCAATAGCTCCATACCTTTTCATACTATGTGTTGAAGTATTAGGCATCAGACTTAGAAATAATAGTAAGATTATAGGTATCAATGTGAATAACTGTCCCATTCTCCTTTCTCAATACGCAGATGACACCTCACTTATATTAGATGGTTCGAAAATGTCTTTAAAAGAATCTATTGTTGAATTGAAATACTTTGCAAAGATATCTGGTTTAAATCTTAATGTCGATAAAACCCAGGTAATTTGGATAGGTAGCAAAAGTTACAGTGACGATACTTTTTTACCTGAATTAGGCTTGCAATGGGGAAGGATCAAATTTAATATGCTAGGAATAGACTTTAGTGTGAACTTACATGAGATCCCCAGATTAAATTTTGATAAAAAATTAATTAAATTGAAAACGCTCATTAAATCTTGGAGTAGAACACTTACACCTATTGGTAGAACAGTCTTAATAAAAGCTCTTCTTCTTTCACAGTTCAATCATTTATTTATAGCTTTACCTGATCCTGATGAGCAGTATTTGAAAAATCTCAACTCAGTCTTATTTAACTTTTTGTGGAATAGTAAGGTGGATAAAATTAAGAGAGATATCATCACCCAGAATTATTATGATGGTGGTCTTAAAATGGTTAATGTTAGGTCATTTATAGATTCTTTTAAATTAGGATGGATAAGAAGGTTATATCAGAAAACATCTAAGTGGCAACATATTTTTGAAACATTTACAGACTTGCATAAGATATCTACATTTGGTAATGCCTATATTCAGGATTGTCAAAATAAATGCAAAAATATGTTTTGGAAGGACGTGTACAAAGCTTGGGTTAGATTTAATGATTCAGATGCAGTAAAGGAAAATATGGAAAACTCAGTTTTAACATCACCATTATGGTATAACAGGAATTTAACTATTGCGAAAAGTACTATTTTTTACAAGGCTTGGTATCAGAAGGGAGTAACAATAATTCATGATTTAGTAAAAGATATAAACACTTT